CTTGCCCTTACAAGCGCGCTCTCACCGAACTGGAGCTCTTCGAATTCATCAATCCCGGCTATCGTTGTGAGCGTTATCACGACATACAACTACTGAAGGAACTATACCAGCGATTAAAGAAGCCACGTGAACCGGCCTGGGATCTGAGTGTGGAAACCTTGAAAGCTATGATATTACGCCAAGGAAGTCCCGATCAACGCGCTTTGCTTTTTGTAGAGATGATGGGTATTTTGGAGGAGATGCGTGGCAAACCTGCCACAGATTTTGAAGAGAAAATATTGCACAATACAGAACGTGAACGGACATGCTATGTGTATGTGCGGGGCATTATATCGACGGGTATCGACGAATGGGAAGAGCTGGCATTGACAATTGAGGAAGCCTTTCTAAAAGTAGCATGGAAAGAGTATATCGACAACTATTATGCCATTCAAGAGGACATCACTTCTCTGTCAAGGGAGGATGCTGGTGGTGATGTTGAAAATACGGAGTTACGGGAACCGGACGAACTTGACAAGGAGGAAATCAACAAGTGGCTGGCTAAGGAGCTACGTCATCGTAAGGCATTCCGCGACACGCTCTATGTGCAGACTTATACACATTTGTGTGATTTCATTGAAGATATTGTGTCTGTGATTGAGAGCACAGATGTCGTTTGAGCGACTTCAGATTTTCCGGTGGATAGGTTTTTTAATGCACTAGGAAAATAAATCCGTAATAATGAAGTAGAAAATTTATGTATCGCTTGAGAGGTGGTGTACTGATAAAGAATGTCTTACTTTTATATATTTAATAAAAGAAATGGGATAACTTGCTTGAAACAATGCATTTGGTTCAGAAAAGACATTACTGTTTAACCGTTAGGGGCTGCCGTTAGTGGAACTCGACGACAACGACTGAGATACCAACCGATCTGGGCGGGGTTGTTGTAGCCGCTACAACAACAACAACAGCAGCTCTTGGACAGATGGGCTCAGCGAACGCTAGCCGAAACCCAGGCTGTACTACTGCAAGGCGCGACTCTCATTTCTGATGGATTTATTGACAGGTCCCTGTCACAGTGGCTCCTCACTGTCGCAGATGCATTGACGATGATGGACATCCAAATAGTAAAGAAACATATTTTGCTCGTCAAAATGATTTATTAGTATATTATTAGTTACACGTTAGGCAAATAAAAATAATCATAGTCCTTTGTTCTTATTTATCACACAACTTTTTGAGAAAATTCGAATACGCTGAGTATGTTGAGATGTAGACATCTTTTATTTAGTTTTTTGTAAGAAGTGGTATAATATTTTCGATAAACCATTTGCTAGTCATTTGCAAATGATCACCCTCTACAGATAGGTACAACAACTTGCCGTTTTCATCCATTTGTTTAAGCCCGAGCTGCGGAAAAAAACAAAAAAATTAAGTGAAGAGTTTAATATTACATATCTATGGCGTTCAATTGATGGTCCGGCCCTATTATATATTGCGACTAATAGCCGATGGGCTACGATATACTAAAATTCGCATTACGTATGGAAACTGGCTACTGATCCAGATGATAATTTAGGTAGGTCTTCTTAAGTAAATCCATTCTAAGAAGCCTACCCAAGAAGGACTGAAAAAAGTGCTTCCTTGCAAGCCTTCTAGAAGGGCTTATCCATTTACAATTTACGCGAATGCATAAATTTATATTATTTTGCATTTAAAATGAATTTAAAAAAAAATATTTGATATAAGCCTTAAGCAAATACTTCAAAGATGTATGTTTTTTATAATTTAAAGGAGCAACTTTAAAAGAACTCCTTCAAAAGGCATTCTGATGTAGGTCCTATAAAAGCCTTTCAGGAAGGCCTTCCATGGGTAACGAAAGAAGAAGCCCTTCAATTTGTGCCATTCCATACAAAATAGAAAGGAGAAAGGAATGTAGAGTGGAAGACGTCTGGACTCTCAGCAAGGCTTTTAACTCCTGAAATTATCTACTCGGGACTGTCGGCTACTGAGTCTAGTATCGAGATTTTAAGTTTCCCGTTTATGACGGATGACAAAGTAGCCAATTACTTCGAAATGTACATGTCGAAAAAGTAAATTTGGACATTGTCTGCGTTTTTCTGTATACTGAGCTTAATCGCTATACATAATTCAAAGTACGATACTGGTAGCTATCTGTACTACACCAGCAACTAGAGATCAGTCGCCATAGATAATAGGGCCATAACGTAGCTTAATTGACTTTAAAAGTTTTAACTTTGAATTAAAAAATAATCAGTTTCCCTTGAATGTTTTCTATATTTTTATTAAGCTTCTATCAAAATGGCATCTTGAACAACATCTACGGCTAGTTAAACCTTGAAATATTGTTTGGGAACCCAATGAAATGTAGCTATAAAGGGAAAAGGGTCTATCCCGACTTCGGCTGCTTTAATTGAACGGCACAAATATGTGCATGAAGAGAAAGTGATTATTTTTCAATTCAAAGTCAAACCTTCTAAAGCCACTTAAGCTACTACTTTAGTTGATGTGTATGTATTTAGTTATATCTATTGAATTACATCTTCGTAAACTCCGCTTTGTATTAGTGGGCGGATGCTTTTATCTTGACCAGGTGCGTAAAAGCCAAACCACTGTGACTCTTTAGGCTGAACTATTGAGTCATTCAAGAACTTGACCATTACAAATCTGAAAGTATGTTTCGTTAGTTGGAAATATTTTATTTTTTATAATCGTTTGCACGCTTACTTTTCTAGTTTATTAAGGTTGGTAATATAGGTTTGGTTGATAAACACCTCGTTGTTGATATTAGAAAGAAATGAGCTCTTCTGCCGATATTCTTCTTCTCTTAAGGGATCATGCCAGTAAGTAGCTTGCACTAGTTCGCGCTGCATCCACTCCTTATAAGCAGCACGATGCAATAACTTACGTAGGTGTTCGCAAGCTCTGTTTGATAGCGAGGGGCATTTGGGCAAGCCAAAAACTCCTTGATGTTGTCCGCCTATCGAAATCAATGTTTTAATAGGTGGGGTAGCACAACGTTGAGCGACCGCACGCCTGGAATATTAAAAGGAAAGTAGTCAAGTATAGCTTTGGGAAACCCATGATTGTGCTCACATAAATTGGCCGCCCTGAGAGAAGCCAATAGCATTGTAGCCTCCTGAAAGTTTTACATCTTTGGCCAATTGATCACAAACATAACGCACTTGGTCGTCGGGGTGTACGAAGAAACCGCTTTCATAGTCGAGAGCAATATTACCGCCGATTTTCAGTGAACGCACATATGCACCATTCGTTTCCGTTTGAATTAATTTCTTTATGGAACCCATGCTGAAGGGAAAACAGCAAGTGTCACCTTGGGAATATATGAGAATATTATGGATTTTCCATGTAGGATGTATGATCAATAAAACTTAATAGAATCTAGTGAGGGGGGAACTGACTTGCATAAAGGCAAGTGACTTGTAGTGACCGGTGATGTGAACCTAAAACTTACCCATTCCATGCCATAATACGACGGGCAGTGCATCGGAAGCAGTTGAAGTACCGCAGCATATAGTTATTAATATTAAGGTTTTCAGGAAAACCATTTCCTTTTTGTTTAGCAGAACGCAAATTAAATTTACAGAAATCAATCACTTCATTTGCTATTGAAAATTTTATCAATTTAATTCTAAACAAAGATATTAAACAAAACACAGGGATGCACTGTAAAAGGTTCTAATTTTTATAGGGTTGCCTTGTTGGAATTTTTATAATTTTAGTATTGCGTTGTTTACGAAAAAATTTACATGCCCTACTACGTTGGTTGGGTTAGCGTTGCTTTCGTGTTTTAATTAAACTAATATTTTAATCAAATTATCATAACATAAATGTCATGCAAAATATATTATATATAGTGAGAAAATTTATATTTCCTTCTTTCGCAAACAATTAACACAAATTATCTGCTTATCGAACAGACCAGTAGTTAGAGATTGCTGCAAACACTGCCAAACGGAAATCCAAAGCTGTTTCCGCACTGTTTCTGGATTCTAACAGGCGTTAGCATGCATCTCTAGCCAATCAAATAAGTTAAGAGCGAAATACACCACACAAGCGGGTTGACAAACCAAGCGAAATTTCCCTTTGCTTCAAGCCATTTGTGCTGTGTATGGGGGTGTTTGAAGGTTTGACGGCGGTTTGTCAAACCTTCAAACACCCCCATACACAGCACAAATGGCTTGAAGCAAAGGGAAATTTCGCTTGGTTTGTCAAACCGCTTGTGTGGTGTATTTCGCTCTTAAAAGTGTGCAGATTGTTAATAAGGAAATTTTCCGTATGGCCGATCCGTTTTTATACCTTTTATGAGCATGGAATTGTATTATAACTTTGGTCCGGTGTTTGTAAGTACCAGAAGAAGAAGAGATAGAGCCATGAAAAGGTATACCAAATGATCATAACACCGACCTAAGCGATTTAGCCATGTCCGTATGTATGTTTGAGCGCAATATACTCCCTAAGTTTTCGAGATATCCGACTAAAATTAGGTAAGCGGTTGGCCCTTTTTAATATATCATTTGTCGGAAACAGCGAAATCGGAGCTCGACAAGTTACAGCTCCCATACAACTGATTGTCAAATACGAGATTTTGCTTTAAACTCTTTTATTAGGGCAGCAAAAATCGCCCAATTTCGAATGCTACATATTTACCAATCAATCGAACAAGGCCTCCTGAGAAAATCGTCAAGTTCTATTAGGAATATCACCCATATTACTGCAAAATAATAACCCTGCATAAAATTTAGAGACAAGTGCGCTCCCCTATTTCAATATGATAAATAAAAAGTTCGCAGCGAAAATTGATTTAGTAAAATGTGTAGCTCCCAAACTTCTTCTCATTATTATTTTTATTTTTATTGTTATTTTTGTTTTATTTATTTATTTATTTATTATTATTATTATTATTATCATTTATTTATTTTATTTTTTCTCCTGGGGAGTTTCTTCGATTGCTGTTTATGGTGAACCTGGTGTTTTAAGATAATTAGATTCTCCTTACCATTCTGGACTTTCAATCAAGTTCTCAAAGCTACAAAAAAAAACATCTTCTTCTTATTTGGCTCTACAACCATTTGTCGCCAGTTGTCTTTCCTTCTTCGCAGATTTCGCGGACATTTGCTGTTGGTCTTTCCATTGTGTTCGTGGGCGCCCTTGCCTTCATTGTGCATCCATGCGTGCTGAGTCGAAGGATATTTTCACCGGAGCATGGTCATCCATACGTACAACATGGCCAGACCAACGCGGTTGTATTTTTATGCGTTTAACTACATACATATGTGTATCCACCTCGTTAATAAGCTCGTACAGTTCGTCATTCCATCTTCTTCGATTTTCATCACTCACGTGAACAGGGCCATAGATCTTGTATAGAATAGCTCACACAGCCTTCTCATCTATATTCGACATCGTCCATGTTTCTGCGCATAATATTTGTTCGTCGAGAGAGGGCTCTGCTCTTCAATTGCCTATCGAGCCTAAAGTTATGACTGCGTACAGTGATGTGAGTCCCAATACGCGAAGACCTCTTTAGCTTCTTTTTCTAAGCTGCAAAATGATGCACTGCCATCCCATGCTGTCAAAATCTGATCGATGGCGAACTTACCAGGTCTGAAGCCACACTGAAAAGGTCCATCAGTTGGTTCGTGATGGGCTTCAGGCTTTCACACAGTATGATTTAAAGATTGGTTAGCTTTTCGTATTTTGTTTTGCTTCGAAGACGTAAACTAACACGAACACAGGCATGCCGACGAATTCGAATACGAAGACAATGACGAATATTTAGACGAATATGATCATGAACACGCAGCCAACCACGGAGATGCATTCGATGATGAATACAAATACGAGACGAATACGAATACGGAGACGATTTTGAATTCGAATACGAATACGGCGACGCAGACTAAAGAGCGAAATACACCACACAAGCGGTTTGACAAACCAA